AAATATTCACTTTCCAGTCTCCTAATCATCCAATCTCACCACTGGTTCCTGTCATGTCTTGAGTGTAGGTGATCAGTCAGATCATAAAGTTTGTTTGTTTGAGGCATTGCAAGTCCTCATGGATGGATGCTGGCAGGAAGTCTGGTATTAGGAATGTCTTTTTCTTTCCTACCTTTGGTGGAAGTTGCAGTTTGGTAGGAAGATGGGTGTCCTTTCCTGATGTAGATGGCAGTGACTCTTGCTTCCTCTCGTAGTTCACCTCTTGGATAAGGATGTGAACTATTCCTTCTAGTCAGAGTCTTTTCTTTCCATGAGTTTCCATAGTTTTCTCTTTAACATGCTAAAAATGAAGTTTAGTTGTGATGCATTTTGTAGAAGACAGAGTGTTTCAGTTTCTTTCTAGTGGAGCTTTCCATTATTAAGGTACTATTTTGGTCGTATCTTTTTTTCTCCTTGAAGTGCTTGACTTAGCGGAAAAGCTAAAAGAGGACTAATGTATTATCTTGAGGAGTAAGTCTTAAGTCACAGCTAAGACATTAACAGTTTTGTATGCTTTCTTTGAACTTGCAATTTTTATTATGAAGATACAGCTGTTGGAGTTTTGACTTTGTAACCTCTTGTTGTCTGCAGATGCAACAGCCTGAATTCATCAGAGTGCTCAAGTGCAGCCTTAAGTAAAGGGTGTGAGCATATTCATTATGTTTGTCTAGACTGTCCTTTGAAGGATGTCTCTAGACTGTCTGCAAAAACAGTTTCACTGCACAAAAGGACAGAAAACCCTCAAAAATAACCCCAGAGCACACATGCCCAAGCAGTCTCTTCGTGTTAATGTGTGGCAAGGTGTGTCGAGACAGTCTGTTTGCTGTAGATGTGCAGCATACTTTTAAGGGTGTGATGACAATGGGCTGCCAAAGCACCTTTGGTCACAGAGTGGACTCAGCAGTTTCTGAGGCTACACTTCTAAAAGCTGTGCAAACAAATTTGGTTACAGTACTGAGTTCACCTAGGAGGGCTGCTTCATTTAAACTAGACTTCAGAGATTTAAATGTTGATGTTATGCTCAAGGAGTGAAGAATGCTGTGGCCTTTAAGAAGTTCTTTGATCTTTTGCATTTGGTAAAGATGGGTCATTTTTATGATAACAGTCCTGATACCATTAAGACTCACATTAGTTTTCAGTAGGAATTTGGCACTTTCTTCTCATAAGTACTGTTGAAAATGTCCTATACTGGTTTTGCTGTTACTGCCTGTGCTATAAGAGTTCCTTAAGGCCAGAGCAGAGCAGGGGACCCTCAGTGAAGCCCTGAGAGCTGGCTCAGGCGATGGCTGAGCCCAGCACAGGGTGGAATGCAGTGTTTGGCAAGTGGGAGCCTGGCTTCATTGTATGTGCCAAGGGTGGTAGCAGGCAATAGCAGCTGGGCCCTTGGAGAGAAAGCTTGTAAAGATAGTTTGTATAAATTATGTCTGATAGAGAGGGTAGAATTGGTGTGCTGCGAGTGAACAGAACCATTTCACAAGAGTCACAAACCCAGTGAGGGATGGTTCTGCAGTGCTGCCAGTGCACTGGTAGTCCCCCAGTGCTGCAGACAGTAGTGTAGGGGTGTGCCTCTTCCTTGGCTGTTAATTGTCACTTGCAAGCCTTGTGTCACAGGGGCGTGTGGTCTCTGATAAAAACTGCCTGCTTGTCTGTGTCTCTGGCATAGCCATGTCACAGGCTGTGCTCACCAGAGAAAAGAAAAAGTTACATTCTGCCACTGAAGCAGAGGTTACAGTGAATGTGAAGAAAAATCCACCCACTGTGTAGACATAATTAGTTCTTTTTTGCAGTTTGACAATACCCCATCAGATTTATTACTTTTCCAGTCAGAAGCACAGCTCACTTTATCTGATCTCCATTTCTTACTGTTTTCTGGCAAGAGATTCGTTTTACTTAGAATTCATGTGATTCATGGGTTACAGGCTCATCTGTTGAAGTACAGTGTGTCTGCAGAGGAAGTTGTGACTGCCACTGTGCTTGTAACCTAATCTACATAAATCCCCAGAAGAATCACTGATTTGAAAGAAATTCCTACTTGCTGTTTATGTAAGGATGACCATCTGTCTGGCAAATCCCCATGTGGAAATCAGGTACATCTGAGAAAAGCAAGACAACCTTCTGACACCTGTTTCTCCATCAGACGTAGCTGCTTATATTTTTCAGCAGGTGCTTTTGAGATTTGCTTTTGGATCTACTTTCAGCAGCTTTTGAATACTAGTTTAAGCACTGTATGCAGTGCAGGATCATTCTGACCAAATCACCCTTTCTGGTTTTTGGCACAAATTTTTGGGGGTCCTAATTACACCTTAGGAACTGCTTCTGAATCTTGGCACCTTGGTTCAGTCACAGAGACTGATAAATACCCATCTTCTTTAGTTCCAGAAAATGCTTTCAGAATTTCTGAGAAACACTGAAACAAACTGGCTTTTAAGATCAAGTGGCATCTTCTGTTTGAGGATCATTCCACATATATCTGTGATCCTCCTTGTAAATGGTTTCCAAGATGCAAGAAAATATAGTAGATGTGTCAAAGTGGTAGTTTTTAAGGATAATCTTTTGTCTGCTGGAAATTTTATATCTTTAAAAAGATACAGAGCATTCTGAGGCCACATTAGAATACAAATGCTGTTGGCAATCTGCTCTGAATCTGTGTTTGTACGTGCTAGTTTGCCTATTGAGATGTTCTTCACAAATTATCCTCAGTTTCTGTGTGGCTCTCAGCTCTGATGAGATTTCTGCAGCTCTAAGTGTGTGCTCTTTTGTGCATGGTGTGCAGCATGGAGCACCTGTTTTCTTTACTGGAGAACCAGCTGTGATAATCCAAATAAACACAACCTTCGGTAGATGAATTTTATCTCCTGTAACTGAAGGTTAAGGTGTCATCTGGTGATTTATCCTTCCCAAATGGATTTGTTGGATCACTATGATACAAACATAATTTACTACCTTTTGCACATCATAGCTGTGTCCTCAGAATGGTGTTTGGGGATTTACAATACTGATCAGGGTGAATTATGTGTCAAATTACTAACCATCCTGTGTGACATTTAGTTAGTGCTGACAGGAATTGTGCATTTAGCAGAATGAGGCTTCTGCAGCAATCTTTTGATAGGATTGTTTTCTTTCAGAGCTGCTGTTAATCAAAAGTTTCTGGGGAAAGGCTGCAAAACCGACCATTGATTGTATTGACTTGTGCTCTGGCCAGCCAGATGTGAATAGTGTGTGTTGTGGTTGTCATCCTCCCTGTAAGTTATTGTCAAGGTGCTGCCTCCTTGATGGAAAATCCAGCAAGCTGTTACAATTTGAAGGCAAGGTGTACCTTGCTGTAAAGAGCCCCTGGGTTAGGCATGCCTGACAGGATGTGGATGGATCCTTGGAGAGGAGTAAGTGACTCGTTGCTTTGTTATTCCCACAGGGCTAAGCACATTCACAGAACTAAAGAGGTTCTGTGGATATGCAGACAGTTGCACTTTTTCAAAGTATATTCCTATCTGGAATATGGAAGATTTCCTTCCTGCAATTTCTGCTTTTCTTTTGTGACAGTTCTTGATTGGCTGGAATAGTTTATAATTCTTTTCTTGGTCATTTTGTTGGTGTGTGTTCTATGACCCTATGCTTCAAGCGGTGCTTTGCAGATTACATCGAGGCTGCTGGGTGCTTCTATAGGGCCCCCTCTCTTGTCTTCAGAGGAGGCAAAATAGGTCTGTTAGCACAAAGCACTATGTCAGACCCTTTGATTGCCTCCTTTTAAGCCTTTGATCCCAGTGGCACAGACCTGAAGTTGCCTTTTTTGCATCCACATAGGAGGAGGAAGAGAGGTGGAAGAGGAGGGGGTGTAGCTGGAAAGGATGTCCTTGTTTGTTACCTGTATGGTCAAACAGGAGCTGCAGCTGCAGTGAGGAACCTGGCTGTGATCCAAGTGACTGCCATGGCTGCCTATGCTGTGTCACCTGTTGAATTAAGCTTCAAATGAAAGCCATTAATTTAGGGAGTCTGTATAACTAGGAGAAGGTTCTTCACTGAGAAGGTTCTGACATAAGCCATGAAAACAAAAGGGAGCATGCAACAACTGCACCTGTTTGCACCTCTTTCCTCCTTCCTCAGTAGTGCAACTCTAGGAAACATAGGAGCTGACTTATTGCATTGTTTGTGCATATCATCAACCAGGCAAAGACAAAATGAGGACAACACAAGGAATTTAGCAATTGTATTCCAGGACAGAATGGCTGCCCTCCTGAAACTGCCAAACCCTGTGGCATATTCTCTTGACTTAGAAACTGAAAATGCATATCAGAATCTTTTCCTAGTGAGTTATCTGCCCCTTGTGATTTTCAGCAAGTAAAAAAGAAAAGCCATTGCTTCAATACAGATATGCTATCCTTACATTTATGTTCCCAGAAGGCCTCAGACTATGTGACAAGAATTACTGTCATGGATATTGCATAACGGTTTGTGCATAATATTTAATGCAGCCTCAGTTTTATGAAATATGGATAATATTGGAGACATTCTGAATAGTAGCTTAGATTTACACTTTCTTTTTAAGGAGGAGACAAGGGACATTTTTAGCACTCTTCAATGACATTGGAAGAGTTGAGACTGTTACTATTAAAAATGAATAAAATCCATAGAAGTGGAAAAGAGAAAAATACATTGTATAGATGGATTATGGGCAAATCATAAATGTTTCAACCATTTCTGGAGATTAGAAATGCTGTGCCTTTATTTGAATAGCAAAGCTATCTCAGCACACTTCCTCCACACTTACCCTGTCCAAGGTGTGTTGCTCCTTGGTGTGGAAAGTTGGAGCTCAACTCAGAGGATGCAGTTTTGAATAATCTTTCTTCTTGTTAAAGGTTTATTATTAAGATGAAGGCATTCCAAAAAAAAAAAAGTATTAGATGCATGTGCTACATATGTTAAGAATCAGCTCAAATTTTGTGTATTTGTTTTGTGGCACACAGGACAGCTTTCCAGCTCGGTTTGGAGGAATACATTTTGTCAATCAGCCGTGGTATATCCATGCCCTCTACACAGTTATCCGGCCCTTTCTGAAGGAGAAGACACGAAAAAGGGTATTCTTCTTTTTAATTGTCCATTTCCTGGCAGTCGTCATCAGCAGATGCATCATACTCTAGTCAAGTAGATTAACATGAGATATCAGCTTGCTGTTGGTGGAAAATGTTTAAATATATCTGTGTTGTACAGGGTACCTTCAACTGTTTTAGAAACTTATACAACCTTATCCTTTAAGGACACAGTCAAGCAGCGCACTTAAATGTATTTTAAAATGCAAGCGTATGCTTGCTCCTGGGGGTTATATAAAAAAATACTGCCAACATTACAGTTTCTATTAAGATTGTATTCAATTCAGTTCTGTTCAATTTCTGTTAAAATTATTTGTGTCTTTCTTTTAAAAACAGAGTTAGTGACTACATAGTCCTTTCCTAGTGTGCTTTGCTTGACATTAGCATGAGCTAAAATACCCAGCTGGCATCTAGTAGTATTAGTTTGCAAATACTAATTTGAATGAAAACCAATAAAAGGGAATTTGTGTGCATGCATCTGTGCATAAGCATGAGCAGCCTCCGAGATGTTACTGAATTTGTACCATTTGCATCAGTGCAATTAAATTAGAGCTTGGTGGTGATAGCGTATAGAATGATATTATTTCTGTAACAGGAAATTTGTCATCCAGGAAAATACAATCAACATCATGTACAACGGCACTACAAAGAACATGATGATTTTTTTTTCAATGGAATCAGCTCCTTAAGCAGCTCTGTATTTTTTCTCCTCAAACACACTCTGCAAGGCCACAATGATCCTTGGTGTTGAGCTGTTTTTTACTGACAGATTATGCTTGAGAGGCCTCTGGTATTTACAGATTTTGAACTATAGATCACAAAGCCTTTTATGTAATATCTGTTATAAATATGCAAATGAAGCCCCATTTTGCAGGATTCAGTTGCACTCAGTTGACTGCAGCTTCTGCAAAGAACATTGTAGCACCAGATATGTCTGAGGCCTTTTCAACTCAAGTGCTGCATATGCATAACTAGTGAGTAAAGTGCAGCTCATGGGAGGGCTACAGCATTAAAAATAAGTGACAAGGCAGTTGAACATGGAGGCTTATCAGTTAGCATCTAAATTTTTATTTAGACACTTGAATCAATGGCATATATTTTCAGAAATGCAGACTTTTTACAACCGTTTTTTGTCAATTCCCAATACCTATAAAAAGTAGTCAGGTGGTTAAATATTGATTTACAGTTCTAAACTTAGTGTCAAAATGTGAAAGTTATGACCAGCACATAAAATTTAAAATCAGCCTTAAAAAAAAGTATTAGATGCAGAACAAATGATTGGGAAAAAAAACCCTTCAAACCCAAAAGAATTCTCTTTATATTTTTTTTATCAGGCTTATTATTTATCCATTGTTTTTATCCTGAATTATTATGTATTTTTTTAATTTGTCATATAGATTTTCAAGTGATAGCTAAATTCAGATAAATACAGTACTAGGCATATATAAAAACAACTGCTAAGAAGTGAAACACTTAGCTGTAAAGGCACCATAAAGCAAATAACTTTCACCATTAATAAATTTCACAAAAGGATAAATTCCTTTATCCATCCATTCCTGAGATGGAAGAAAATCACTGGTTTTGCATGGTCATATTAACTTTCCTGGGTCCAGAGCTGACTGGAAGGTGGTCTTAAGTAAGCAATAAAAGACAAGCATATATTTGGTCTTTGTCTTTCTGCCTTTTGAATTTAACTCTTATAAATCATGCTAAGGGTGTAGCTGCCCAGAGGAGTCCCTGCAAGGTGAAGTGGAACATGAAAGATCTCTGAGGGGAAACACTAAAGTTAAACGTAAACATAAATATGAGTATTCATATCACATCATATTAATAGACAGATATATAAGTGCAAAGTTTATATGAATATCAGTCTACCAAAACATTGATGGAAAATATCAAATAGTCCATCAGCTATTCCCTCAGTGTAGTCACACTGGTTGGCTATTATTACTTACTTCATGTATTGGCAAGTTATTGGTAAGACTAGATTAAGGAGGAAAATATTTCCTGCATTGTTATCATTACACTACACAATTTATCTTATTTATAGAACTCATGGCTACATGCTGAAAGTCAATATATATTCCTTGTTGTATATGGTGAATATTATTTTTATTCATTTGTTATAATCTTAATTTATTAACTTAATTTACAGGATTAGGGAGAGCAATTGACAAGAGATTAACAAGGCAGTTTGTCTTGCTAATCTAATATTCTGTCCATCTAGCTACCAGACACCAGTTCTTACCGTCCCCGAGTCCCTTTCCCTGAATACATTTTAAGTTATTTATGCTTTAATCACTTTGGAGATTTATGAACATAGTATGACCATGCTTAAGGCAGAGATGATGTGTGCCTTCTTCTGCCAGCCCAACACAACCAGAACGTTTAAATTGTACAGCATCCTCCTAATAATGATGATGTCATTTGGGCTTTGATGTTTTTTGGTGATACCCCTGTGTTTTTACCTGCATGCCTACATACAGATATTCCTGCATGGTAACAACCTCAACAGCCTGCATCAGCTCATACACCCTGAGATCCTGCCTTCAGAGTTTGGAGGAATGTTGCCCCCCTATGACATGGGCACGTGGGCAAGAACACTGCTCGACCATGAATACGACGATGACAGTGAATGCAATGCGGACTCCTACAACACTCCTGCAAAGGACATAGAAAAGGACCTCTCTCCCAAATCCATGAAAAGGTGAGGTAAAGGTACTGTTGTCTTCTAGTATTGCCATAAGGTTAACATTTGCCTTCTTCATCCTTTATGAAGCTGTAGGTAGTTCAGTCTATCATATAGGAAGACAATTGGGTTTTTTTTTTTCCCTTTCTTAAAAAGCTCAGTGTTGATGAGAGATCATGGCTGTGATTATTACACATGTGAGTTGTGAACTCAGTGCAGTTGATTTTTTCTGAGGTGCCATATAGGTTGTATACGCAGCACTGTCTTTGGAATAAGCTGCTATCTCACCTCAGCCTACAGTACTTATTAGAGAAACAATGCTAGCTGGAGTGAGCCTCTGTGCAGAGGGTAAATTTGGGTCAATTATCTTTCTGGGTGGTGATGTTAGCTCTTATCTTCCTCTATCTCATTGCCCACTGCCTGGTATCCTATCTACCAGCCTATAGGTGCCAGGACATTTATGGCATCTGAACCATCAGTCACAGTGACTGCATGCCTGAGAAAATATGAGGAGAACCAGGATCAAAATCAGTGCCAATTGTTATACTCAAGTCTGGTAAAGATTGTGGCATGCTGATAGTCTTCTCTTTGAGAAGGTACGGCGTAATTGCTTGCTGCATTTTACCATTCATAATGAAGTATAGAAAGAGCTTAGTTACCTCTTCAGTAGCTGTGGAAGCAGTGAGGTCATTAACTTGGAAGGAGTGAATCTGATCCAAGCTTGGCAGGGCAGTAGGAGAGAAAAGAGTAAAGATTACAACTGTGATAGAAAAGGTAGCAGAAATGGCAGCAAAAGTCAGAGTGCAGCTTATAAGGGACAGGCCTAGCAATGGATCAGAAAATAACAAACAAGGCAGAAACCAATATATAAAGTTATTAAAATTAAGTCAGGATATGCTAGGCTGAGAACCCAGTTTCAGGAGACAGCATGTGATACAGAAGAGAAAGAACCTCTTGGAGAAAAATCAAGCAGGATAAAGTATTTTCAGATTTCTCAGCCAGGAAGATTATTTTGGCTGGAAAATATTGCCTAGACTGGGAAGGACAGTGTGGTTTAAAAGGGAGTTATTTTTGTGGAAACAGAGCAGAAAACATAAGATTGCTTTAGGAAATTAAAAAAAAAAAAGAAAAAACCCAATAAAATTTAAGGATTTTGTGTTGAAAAAGCCTCTACTTTATTGAAAGTGGGAAATAGCAAGAAACTGGATAGGAATGAGCTAGGATAAGAAGTTAAAAAAGGTTCTGAAACTGTATGACAGGGCTGCTGGAACGGCTGCAAACCTGGTCTCAAATTCCCAGTGAGGGAGCTTTGGCTATAAATTCCCAGAGCCTCCAAAATCCCCAATGCCCAAATACAGGAAGCTGGAAATGTGTAACTAACACAATTAATGGAGAAAATGGGACAGAGAAAAAGAGCCAGGAGAGGGGAAAGGTGAGCAATGCACTTATATATGATTTGCACATAATACAAGAATTATGAGACAACAGAAGTTGTCTTAGACAGAAGGATGGAATTAAGGAACTGAAATGCAGAAGTCTTTCTGCTGTAAAATGATGTTGTGAGAGTAAATAACTTCATCGAAGAGTGCAACAAAATAAAATATGAGAAGGCCTGTGACAAGTCCTTTTGAAGTATCCTGTTTGTAGCAGAGTTTTCCAGATTGTCCTGGGCAAGAATATTACTAAGGGGCAAACCAGTGAGTTGACCAGATTCTTCATTCTTTCTCAAATAATTTTTAATCTCATTTAACTTGTTCTTGAAAACTCTTTTCATACAGTATTACACTTCAGTGTAAGCTTCACATTGATATTCTTTCATTCTGGTTGAACTAACACAGTAGGAGACCGAGTGCAGAAAATAAACATGTTGAAATCTGTATCTATATAATATGCTAAAATTTCTTCACCTTGTATGTATTCCTTCTCAGTTAGTAAGCCTCCAGCATCTGCTGGAATCCTTGTTCCCTGCTGCTGGATGTAAAAAGTACTAAGTAGACTTACTGTGCTAATACTAAGACTGACAGTCCCAAGACTTCAGTGTACTAAGTGCACAGACTCTGCTAAGGCAGGAATAGAAAAGTTACAATAAAACAGATAAACTCTATTTTATTAAACATTAAATTTAACTTGTATTCAGCATCTGATGCGTTGTTTCTCTCAGTTTAAACCCACAGTCAGTATATGTTAGTCCATAAAATTTTTAACGTATTAAAAAATGTTGACTAAGGCAATGAAAAGTACTTAGCTTAGAACAAATTTTACAAGCATCTAGCAGCTCTCCAACAATTATCTTGTTTAATTTGGCTTACCGTTTAATAATTAGTTTACTTCCTGAAAGAATGTCTTTTTAAAACCAAACTGCTACTGAGAATTCATTTCTTTCTTATGCCCCATTTCTTTTTGCCCCCAGTGTGAACCACTGACATTCCTCCAGATCTCCTTGAATTTTTGGTGAATTGGATGACCTCACCTTGAAAGAAAGGTTGACTGGGGGAGGATGATGGATATAAGGAGGAATTAATGCCACCTGTAGCACAGACCTCTGGGGAGAACTTGTTTTTGTCATCTGGCAACATTGCAGCAGCCTCAGCAATCAGGTTTAGCCTGTGGCTGTGTTCACCCGTGGCTGTCATCCTGGGGCACCCAGCTGGAGACCTGCATCTTCCTCTCACCTAACCCAGCAGGGCAGGGGTCTGTGTTGATAAACTTTGCAGAGTTTGGTTGATAAACTTGGTGGTTTGGTTCCTCACCTCTGCAATGAGACTTTGTAGTATGACTCAGGCCCACTGTGTTTTCTCAGAATGTATTCAGTAATGTCTGTAAATTTATCTGGGACATGTAGGCAGAAGAGAAGGAGCTATAGATTTAAACAAATGTTTTTTCTTTCACGCACCTTCATTTGTGAATTGCTGCTGATGAAGCATGACAGTAAATTTCTGTTTAAAACTGAGTGCAAACTATATCTCCCTCTTCTTCAAGGCTTTTGGGCATCTGAGTTTACAAAGCATAGGTCAGGATTTGTGCAGTTGGATTTTCACACCTGCCTTGGCACTGGGGGCTTTGGAGGCCCTGGGAATTTATGGCCAAAGCTTCCCCACTGGGAATGGAGGCCAGGTTTGCAGCCATTCCAGCTGCCCTTCAGTTCTCCCCAGATGAGAACTGGAAACCTTGTCTGCTCAGTCACTGGCAGGCAAGGAAAAGGCTCAGTTTTAGCACTTAGTTGGCAAACCTTTGAAGTTAATTTGCTTCTACAGCAATTTTTATCATGATGAACTGGATTTTCCATGAGTGCAGCTTTCCACCAGCAAATTTTCAATCAACTTTGCATTGGCACAGTACCTTGTGAAGATTTTTAAAAAGCATTTTTAATTCACTGGTTTAGTTTTCTGCCTGAGGAACTGACTAGTGTTCAGGATAAGTATTATTGTACACTCTTAATTAAAAAAGTTTAAATTATGCACAAGAGAGATGATAATATTTTTAAATAATTTAATTTTCTTGATTTTAGTATTAGTATGAGAATGGGATAAATACTATTAGAAAATATCCTTGAGTCTAAAGTTTTCACCTAAGCTTTAATTCAGATGTTTTTCTTGTGATTTTGTGAGCTTTCTTTAAATTTTTTTGAGAAAGACCTCATCAGCCTTATTCATTGGTTTCACTGGAGGATGTGAGGATGTCAGTTTATAAGAGGGGGGGGGAATTGACTCCATATGCTTATCTTAGGAAAGGTTAGAATTTGTAAAGGTTTTTCTCTGCACTGTAGACCTCTAAATGGGCAAATCTGCAGCAATGCTGCAGGCACAGTGTGCTTCCACTGATCAAAAATAAATGCCTGCATTGTAGAGATGTACACATGCTCTTCAGTCATCTCAAATCTTTACAGAAGGAAAGAGAAGTAGGCATTTCCTGCTTGAGATTTTTCTCACTAAAGGAAACATCTAACCAGGGTTGCAGTTACTCAGCTCATCCAAAAGTGGCTGCTTTCGGATGAGCTGAGCAATGGCTGGTGTGAGACCCCATCTTAACACTCCAGGCTTTGTTTTCAATGGAACATTTTGATTTTGCTGGAGACTCAGTTTTCCTCTTTGCCTCTCACATATGGCTGTTGCAGGGCACGGGTATCATGTTATGCTTCTGGACTGAATCAGAGAATCTAGATAAATTTTACAATAATCAGTGAATTTGCCCTGCCCTGTTCAGTTGAGCTGAAAAGTGAGTTTAATATATTTGTCTGCTGCTTCAGAAGTCCTGCTAACCATGGCACCATTCCTAGGTTTGACTTAGGGTCTTGCACTGTTGAATTAAGATGCTATTCAGAAAAGGAGCAACCTGTGCTGCCAGCTAACACATCCTGCTAATTGCAATGTGTGATTAGCTAGCTGGGTGGCTGAATTGTACCTTCTTTGCCAGCCCACTGCTCTATAACCTTCTGGAGAGACAGTCAGTGCTTAAGTCACTACAGAGGACAGCTTAGTTTGCTCTTGTGGGTGGAGGATACTCCCTGCTTCAAAATTTCACTGAAGAGAGAATCTACTTTATTCCACCTTTTGCTCCCATATTTACAGATCAGCACTGAGCCCTGTTATCCCTCTATGAGGGTATTTCCTGTTGATTTGCAATGATCAGATGCTTGGGTAATGCTGTACCCTTATTTTTAAACCCTGACAGAAATTAAAATAAACAAAAGAAAGAAAGCTGAGGTTTACCCTCATTTGTCTTGATCTAGAAATGTCACATAAACATGTTGTCCCTCTGCAGGTCCCAGTCAGTTGTGGATCCTGGGGTGCTGAAACGCATGGATAAGAATGAGGAAGAAAACATGCAGCCCTTGCTTTCACTTGACTAACAGTTTTTGGGCATTGGACATGAACTGAGGTGGAAGGCACTGTCTCTCAGCAACAAGAAAATCACTGGGAAAGAGTGTAACAGCTGGAATCCTATTTACTGATGTTAATGTAGCATATTGGCAGCAGGTGTTACTATTCTGCCTGAATTCTGGAAGCCCTTTGGTGAAAAAGTGGAGAAAAAAAAAGAAAATGAAATAAAATTAAAAAAAAGGAATCAATAATTTATTCTGTAAGTGCCAACTTGTTTGTAAATACAATATAATCCTCCAATTTTACTTTGTAAGTTATGATAAACAAGTGCTATGGATATGAGTGACTATTAAATATGTCTGTGAAGTGCACCATAAAAAAGAGAAGAAAATGTGTGTGTTCTCACATGCACACACACAGATGGCACAGAGAAAAACATACTGAACAAAGAAAAACATCAAAGGTAATTAAGAGTTGTCCTTCCTATGGGAAGCCAACTAGTACATTGACTACTGGATTTTTTTCTGCAATGATCACATAGTGTGCTAAGATAAAGAGGGAATAGAAGTGCTTGGGAGGTGCTGTAATCAGTGCAATGTTTCCAAACTGTGGGAATTGGTTTCTCAAATAACACTGGGGTCTAGGATTGCTATTTAGCATAAACAATGTGCATTGTGAGAAAGATCACAGGTGAACTGGAACCAACTCTTGGATAACTTTGTCATTTAGCTGTATGGGTCTCTGAGGTTTCATCCCTAACTTTTCATTTACACAAGTAACCTGGCTTAGTACCCTAATCTGGGTGTTGTCATATGGGACACATTGGAGTTACTTCTCTTGCATTTTGGGTGCACATCAAGAATCTTTCCAGAACTCTGTTCTCCCTTGGAGTGAGACATTAGTCCTCTAACTACAGTGGAATAACCAGTACCTGAAAGTAAAGCCTGGCAGCAGAAGTTAGTCACTGAATCCTGTGCACTGGGAGACTGGATACATATATATATATATTTTTACCAATCTCTGACAAGCATATGAGGTGACATTGTTAGATAAGTATATTTCATTGAAGGTTTATACAAGAAATCATACCTGTTCAATGTACTTAGATATATTATAGATTGTATATTGAGACACTGTCATTATTACTATAGTAAAACTTTCCATAGATCAACAGCATCCCCCTCCAAGCAAAGATTAATATGAATAAGTTTTAGTCAAACATCTCAGCCTATAGTTTGGGACACCTTTGTTTTGGTTGTAGTGCAACTGTATATACTGAACATGTGCCATAATAGAGAAATACATTTTACCTCAAAAGGGCAACAGTTTTCACTAGTGATTGGGTAAATCTGCTGAAACATAGGAGCTGTGTCATCTCTGTGCGCTGGCTGATGTGTGTTCAGCCAGCGGCGTGCTGAGGCGAGAATGTAATTTCTTATTAGGACTTAAATTGACTGTCAGAGTGGGAAGACACACAGGATGCCCAGCAAGACATCTGAATAACTAAAGGTATTGAAAGAGCATGTTCAGGCAGTGCAGGGATTAGTTATGAAAACACTGACCACACTGGAGGTGATCGTTCACAGCAACCCTGCCTCCCGAGTGCTAGAGTTTAAAACATTTCTTCCATCACTCCAGTGATAGGTGGAGTTTCCAAGTTACTGGTTGTAGGTCATCTCTTCTCATCCAGGATGATTACAGCTGTAAGATTTGGTAGGCTGAGATGGGTTAAGAGCAGAGAGTGAGAACTTGAAAGTCTGTCGTCTCGAGTTGAGCTGTAACTCCTGTGGTGGCAGCTCCAGCGTTTCTCAGGGCTGAGACGACCCTGACTCTTCCAGCATCACCCTTGATTAGCCCAGGCAAATCACAGATAAAGCTTTCCTACTTCACAGGTCATTAGCAGCACTGATAAATAGTGCATGCCCTAATATGCCATCAGCTTGCAGGAACTTGTCTGAACAACTCATTGCCTTTCTGCTTTCCTAATTCTGTTTTCATGGTATGTGTTAGGAAATGCAGAGAGGAAAGATATGGAGCCTGAACTTCTTATCAGTCTGTTCTAAAAGCTGTCAGTAGTAGAAACTGTCCTAATACTACTTCTGTGGTTTGAGAGACTTGAAAAAATGATCAGTTCTTATGTACTCTTTTATTCAGTTTCATTTTTCACATTCCTTGTAAAATCATGCTGTAAAAGTGAGATGTGTCTCCAGTATTCGCCTAAGTGCTATTTTTGAATGTATGTTATATATTTCCACACTTTTGGTTAGTGGAATAGTGTATTGCCATGGTTATGATTTAAAAATTCTTATCAGATAAAACTAAAACATCAGTAGAAATGTTCTCCTTATAAGGGCTTCAGGATTTAGTCAGTACTCCACATTTACACAAGCTGTGACACAATGTGTAAAAATCTTCACGGATCCTTTTACATACATGGGCCAGACTGGCATAAGACAGCAGAATGCTGATTTCAGAGTACACCACCTGTCCAATCACAAAATGCAAATCTGTTCCACTGTATGAAGTTTGAAGTTTGTTTTGAAGCTTATAAATTTTTGTTTGAAAATCTTTTATTTGTGCACTTAACTGTAATTTATGTAATATTTTCTGGTGTCTGATTCCAATTTAAGGTAATGAGTATGAATACATTTTTTCCAGAAAGTTGAAGTAGGATATATTATAATTTTGTGTAACTGGGACCTCATCTTTCAGTAAGAACAAAATTGCTTTTTCAATAAGATCCTCTCTCTTGAAGAGTTGGGCTACAGGTCATCTTGGCTGCAGCTTTTATTTCGCTGAATCAAATTCTGACAGTGGTAATTGCAATTGTGACATTGAAAAAGAATATGGAAATGGGTAAAAGAAATAAATATATTTTACCTGCTCTCACTATTCTTTGAAGGCATTTCTCTTTTACATATCAGGGTACATAAAGGGTTCCACCTTTCTTGTAGAAAATCTTTATAGGTTGTTCAATTTTTATTAGATGAATTTGGACTGAAAACTTTTTCCAATCTTTATTATCATAGGAAATGCTGTCTAATTTTTATAGCAGAATTGAAGTGCTAAAACCAGAATGCACATGCTTGGGAGGAACTCCTCTTAATTTCTTACCTTTCTTGTGTATTGGGTAGAATAAAAACTTGTTGTAATTATGCATGCTGATATGCATATAAAAATATCCTGCAATATAAGGAACTTAGTGGAGAAACTGGATATACCTGTCCAACTATGTAAAAAAAAGGAGAATTAAAAAAAAGTGTAAAAATTGATAGTTTTGGGCTTTTGATAAGATCTAAAAATATCCTCTTACATAATGACTTTTCCAAGACACAAATGTTTAAAAATATATGGAAAAATTATGGAAACTTCCATGACTGAAATCTACTTGTAATCAGAGATGTCAATAAACTCTTGGCTTTATAGAGACAGGTAATCAGACCCACTAAGCTCCAACAAATACACAGACTTCCTCTCAATAGTTATTAGTTGTAAAATAGTTTGAGATGTCTTTACAGAAATGTAAATTTACTGTATAGCATATTTAAGAAGATGTTTTGCACTCTACAAACATGCTATGCCTAGTCACAAACTGAAAACAGAATTAAAGAAAAGAAGAGTAAAAGGGACCTCAAGAGGTCACTGATATGTGGAGGAGCAGATTCACTTTAATGTCGCTCTCAAATGTTTTAGCTCAGTACCTTGCATGGAATGCTCTTTGTATTATTTAATCACAGTCACAGCCAAGCCTAAGCATATTACCTGACAAAATTGTAACCTGACAGTATTTTGTTCATGTCTTTTATTATTTTCCTGTTCTGTTTGGGAAATTAAAGTCAAGCATCATAAGAACTACCATTTAGCATTACTTGGAAAACACTTTGCAATAAGTTTTGGTCATATCCCTGTTATTATATTGTTTCTGTTATGTTTATTGATGTATGTATTTGTCAAGTTTTTTGATAAAGTCATGTTTGAAAGAGCATGCAAGAGTGAAAAAAGCAAAACCAATCAGGCTTCAGGATTTTATTTAGAATATTAAAATGGGATTTTAGGGGGAGTTTGGATTTTATAATCTTAAATTGCGTCTGGGGAATGTCCTGCTGAGCTATTAGCAGCATTGGGTTCCAAGATAAATTTGGAAGATAAATATCAATGTGAAAGACAACAGCAAAGGTTCTCAAAGCATTGTACTGAAGAAAACAATCACATTGCTAGCTGGATCAGGTCCCTCTAAAGAAAGGTATTTTGCAAGTAGCATGTGAGTGTGTACTTCTGGTGGTGAGAATAGCTCTTTTGTCCACAAACTTCAAAACACTCTATGAAATAGAGAAAATAATCGCCATCCCATTTCTCAGGTAGTAAAACAGGAGCACAGCGAGTTAGAGACCTATCTCAATGGAAAACATTTTTCTGTGTGGAAAAGATTACACTGATCACCCAGACTGATTTTAACAGGAGATGTGTCCTTGTTCTGTGTAAGAAGGTCTTATTGATGATTCACTCATGTCTAGTTTCTTTAAACACTCTACCAAGAGACCTTTGCAAACCAGGGGTGATCTGCTTTCCTGTGGAGTTAAATCTGAGCGTACATTTAACCATTACTGCTGAGAAAATGGCAAAGAGGGTGTATGTCCTCCAAATGAAATCCCTTTCTTCCCTCTCTCATTCTTGGGAAAAAAGGTAGTTTAATCCAAAGACTCCTACAAAATGAAATTTTCCTCATAAAGAAATTTGTCAGAGACAAAACAAGCTACTTATCTTCCATTAACTATACAAGGAACATCAACATTTTGTTTAGAGGCATGCTCAGGTGACCCCAAATTAAAGTGCAAGCTAGGTAGATAGAATCCCATGTCCTGTATTGCCTTGTAACTTTGAATAATCCTGTGTCAAAATCTGTATTTAGCAGATTGCTTTAGACATTCCTTTCAGTCTGCATTTCAGCTTTCAGTTGTGTAGGAATTTTTTTCTATCAGCTTTTGGATCATAATTTATTTCCTTCCTAGGTGTCTGTTGACACAAAACTGCATTGATGCCTGTTGGATTGCATAATTTGCAAAGTGGGTTTTTTTGTTGTTAAAAAATAACAACTTGTGCAGTGCTGGGCAGTGGTGAAGTTGCAACATGGGTGAGAAGTTCCCACTCTTTTGTCACTCCTCCTCCGGTGTTTTGTGTGTGTAAACTGCTCTGATTGATAAAAGACATGTTAACACTTGCGTGGTATGAACTTAAAACTAGAGAAAAAAGAAGTTTCTGCAGTGAGTTCAAAATATGAATTGATCAGCTATTGCTGTGGAATCCAAAGCCAGGGGGGAAGCACTGCACACAGGGGAAATAGAGAGACCTCCAAAGGAAGATGCTGACAATTCCTTATGGTACACATTTTTTAAAATGCGGCCAAAGTGTTTTGTCTGCAGAGATTGTGGTCAGCCAGATCTGTTCTCTCTGAACCACTGGCTCACATTAGGTCCTCTCAAATAAAGGTTTGACAAAGCTTCCTTTTGTAGAGAATTCACTTCCAGGGAATTGACATATCTGTCAATTTGCAGTAGACAAATGGCAGGAGTTAATTAGGATTTTTATTTGATATGGAAATGCGGCTGTGATTCCTTAAAGAGGCTGTCGCATCATCAGCAACAAACAGCAGTGCCTAAAGGCAGGCATCTCAAATCAGGTCCCTTGGTTAATAAAAATTTAAGAGTAGAAAAAATCAAGGGGAGAGATAATAGAAGATGATAAAACACAATAATTAAAATAACAAAACAGAAAGAAGCAAGCTTGCAGTGGAAAGCCGTATGAATGGCAAAAATGATGTGATAGAATTTGCATTAACACTTCCAAGTAATTGATCAGTAGCCTATTATGAGTCCCCCCCCTCTACATTATGATCAGAGTTTCCATTTTTCACATGGTCTACCATGTATGGCCACAATGGAATTTCCCAAATCTTTAGAAAATGAGTTACCATGTAAATTAGTAGGTGCTGTAGCTGAGCTTGCAAATATAATTTTAGGGGTCAGAACAAGACAGCAGAGACACCTGTAGATGGGTCCCAGGAATATGAGGAGTGCTGTGTCCTGCCTGAGTGAAGAAGTCATGGAAGGAGATAATGAAAAGAGCCCTATGGCTGTAAGGAAAGGTGGCAGGCCTAGGGAGAAAGCAACATTAGGTATTTGGAGTGAACTGGCGAACCTTTTTAATTATGAAGGAGGCTTTCACCTGTTCAGTAATATTAGAGAGGACTTACAAACCCCATGACACATCTGTTATCAGGAAGGAGAGATAAAACATGTTTCTCACTTTCCCACACAAACTCAGTTGGATATGTTTAAAGCTGATGCATATGCTAAACCTGAAGTGCCTCTGGTGCTGCTGTTTCCACAGTAGCTCTCAGGATGTGGGTATCATGTAGCATGCAGGAGCTGGAAGGGCAGAGCCCCCCAACCTGTCCATAGGAAGAGAAGAGAGGGACGTATTCTGTAAAACCCTGCTGCAGAGAAAACTTTTTGGGAGAATTCAGCGCTTGCTCAAGTCGCAGCTTGCCTTGCCCTGACATCAGTATCAGCACCTACTCTGTGGAAAGGTGTGAGTGGAAGTGGTGTGGGAATCTCCCCTGCAAACCTCTGTGTCTTGTGCTAATTATGCAGCCTTCGAGCTGTAGCTGGTGATCTGTGTCCTGTGTCTTTGAACAGTGCTGCTGGTGATGTTAATTGTAGCCATTAGTCACTCAGAGCAGAGATGATTTAAAGGAAACTGACAACTTTAAAAATTACACTTAATGCCTAAGAATATTAAATTGGTGATTGTTACAAGAAATGCATAAGATTATGATAACTTAAAGACTTCCAGGGTTTGGTTGCATTGTATCCTTGATAGGACTTAGTGTAAAATCACTTTCTTTAAGGATGGTTGTCCCTGACTTTCACATGCATTTTTGATGCAGCAATGGTAAAAGGAATTAAACAGCAGAAAATGAAAATTTTCTAAAGCTATGAATATATTCAGAGGGACACATTTAGATTACCTGACAATAATAATAAAAATTATTTTGCAGTTTTCTAGGGTTCAAGTTGAGAATAATGGCTCTTTTAAATCATTTGCTTCTCTAGCTCTTTCACCCTAAGGATTGCTGTGTGAAATGTGCTCTGCAAAACATTCCCAGCTTTTTATCCCTTCTCCTACCCTCTTGTGTTCAACAGCATCCTGTCTTCTGTGTGTGCTTTATTCTATGAATAACTGAAGAAAACTGTAAAAAAACCCAAACATACTGATAATCTGCAGAGTAGATCTTGAGGACCAGTATTTGAAATATTTCCCTTCTATAAATCTCTAGTTAACAGAGTGAGCTGGAAAATGAGACCAAGGCCAACCACATCATAAAGGAATACAAAACGAAAGAGTCTGGCTAGAAGTGTAGGTGAAACAACTCTTGTGATTTAAGATGTTACCTTCCCTGACTGTTAGTTGTCACTCTTCACATAGCAACTACTGCCCCAACTTTTAATCAACTACATATTATGGAAGTACTCGTGTCCCAGTGAAAGCTGTGTGCAAATCATGTTAACTCTGTTGCTTCTGCACTCATGCAAATACAAAAGCACTCACATAATCTGTTAATACAGCTCTGTTATGAGAATAATGATTAACAGCTAGTCGTGGTGGCATCTAAAATTGCAGATTGGCAATCTGTGCCTTAAGGCTCCTGTGATCTGTAGTACTTGCATAGCAGTAACTACTGAATAATGTTCTTTTTGCATGCACTACTTTGGAGCCTTATGGAAAATATTAAAGCACCATATCAAAATTCAAAATTAAATTGCAGGAGTAATTTACAAACAATGCTTGTATCCTCAGGATAAAATTTGTTTGTTTCTCAGTTTAGTATTTTTAGGACTCAGGGGGTCTGAGACTTGTAAAGCCAGGACAAGTTTATTAATCATGTTTTTTCTCTGCAAAGTTTCAATAACTGTTCTCTTTTCACAACTTGTTGTCAGTTTAAATTTTATTCTTGGACCTAGTGAAATGGTTAATTTTGGTCTGTTGTGTTCTAACCTAAAGTCTGAAGATAAAGCAACTTTGTGAAACATCACTCTTTATATTGTATATTTAAATATCATCAGTTCTCTGTGATCAATGGGCTGCTTTGGAGAGTGCTACTACTTTGAATCATCATTGGTTATTGAGGAAGAATGACATTCTGTTAAATAAAATATGACCAAATGAAAATTAAAATACATATATATTTTCGTGTTTGTACATGGGAGTGTTTGTCTGGCTTCCTTGTGGTAAAACATATATGGAAGGCACACTTTAACTGTGTGAACTGATTTTTTTTTACCAAGGTATTGAAAGAAAAATACTGAGTGGCATGTCAACATGAAAGTCTGGTAACACTGAATGTTGCTTTCCACTCATCAGTAAGTTTTAGAGAGTTAACATATTTCACATTTGCAATACCATTTTGAACTGTCACTTGGAAGTCTCTCTTATCTCACAGGTGAAGATCACCAGGGGTGCAACACAAGAAAAGCTCATTTCCCCCTCCAAGATAATTCCTACTCTCCTGCCTCTAAGCTTCGTGTGTAGTGTGTTCCCTGGCACCGTCTCGTGTTCATTGACTTTTCTTTTGATGCCACATCAGGGAGAAGTGGTATTAGCTCTTCACAGAGATGTCCCTTTCTTCAGCAAAATGTTGCTGTTCTCAGGAGAGATTAACCAGGGTAGGATAGAGCAGGCTGTGTGACATTGGAGCACTGCCTGCTGAATGACCGTATTTCATTCTAGATTTCTTTTTCCCATGAGAGGCGAGGCCCAGTAAATTACAGTAATGTGTTTATGTGCTTCTTTAATGTCATTTTTGTAGTATGCCTTGCTTTAGACACAAGGACACTTATTCACCTCTTCTGTACATTTTCTGTATCTTTTCTTTGGTTTACATAGATTAAAAAAAAATAGGCTGCAGTAGCTTCCTGTTTCACACACAATTTCAGTGCTGTATGCAGATGCAT